AGGATCGATGACCAGCGCTGTGCCCCCCCAGACTCCATCCCCCGTGGCCCCACCATGCCCGACGAAGACTTTTTCAGCCTCATCCAGCGTGTCCAGGCCAAACGCATGGATGAGCAGCGTGTGGATTTGGCCTCAGCCCAGGAGGAGGCCGAGGAGGAGCAGCAGAGGCCTGGTTCCAGCTAAGAACTGGGCTTTGGGCTGGGGGGGCTGCTGCAGCTTTGTTTTTTAAAAAGGAAGAGCAGAGTAGGTGGTTTCAAGCCCGAGTGCTCCTGTGCTCCCAGTCGTGCACCTCCATCGTGTTCCTATGGGAGAGCCCAGCGGATGTGGGACAGTTTTTAAAAAAGGGGTTTTTTAGGACACTTGGCCACTGTAACTCTGGGCACAGCACCTGGAAGATGTTAGCAGCCCCTTGCTGATCACCTAAACCCCAGGAACGTGGAGGAGCGCACAGGGAGTAGCTAACTCCATCCCTGATTTCTTTTATTTCCACAACACTTTTATTTAAATAGGGAAAGGGAAGAACACCTTTTCCATTTTGAAGTCCTCCTGTCTTCCCTGACACAAACAGTTCTGGATCCTTCTCTGGAACATCTTGTTCAGTTTTGTTGCTTCTACAGGAGAAAAAGAGCCCAAGTCCTTTAAACCTTGTCCACCCCAGCTGCATTGTGGTCCCACACACCTGAGTGTATTTTAGGTTTGCTGAGGACTCTCTGGAGAGCCCTGGACATTCTCTGCTTCCAGCTGCAGCCCTGCAGGACCTCCTGAGCAGGGGAAAAGCCTCGCTGACCCTGAGCTTTAGTAGGATTTGTTACCTCTGGAGCCCTCTGCTGCCCCATGGCAGGGGCTGTTCCTGGGCAGAGGGAAGGAGGAACAAGGTCTCTGCCCAAGTGTTCAGCCCACAACAATCAGGGACAGCTCCTGGTGCCACTAAGCCAATGTGAGGGTGTCCAAGACAGAACCTGTGTGTGACAGAGCCCTGCTTCAACAGCCAGCAAAGCTTTCTGCCCATGGCTCATCCCTCCTTTCTTCTGTGTCCAACAGCAGCTCGGGCCAGTGGCCCTTCCCTCCTCTTGTTTCTCCCCAAACCAGCACTGAGCTGCTCCCAGTGAGGTCTCTGGTTCTGTCTGACAGCCCCTGGAGCCTCAGGAGAGCCCCAGCCTGGGGGCTGGCTGGGAACTCACATTTACTGTCATTCCTTCCCCTTTTGGACCAGCTGGAAAAGCTGGAGGAGGGGAGCAGGGAGCTGACTTGAGGAGGTGCAGTATTTTTCCTTTGCTTGACCAGAGACTCTGCTGGACTTCAGCAACTGCAGCACCGAGTTGTGCCGAAGCAGCGCCGCTCCTGCAGAGAATAAATCAGCACTTTGGATCCAAAATGCATTTGATGGAAACATTCCCAGCCAGCAGGGAGATATTTTTAGACCAGTGATGCTGCTCATGGGGCATTTCCCCTGCCTGCACTGACCATGTGGAGTGGTAGCTGCAGTTTACCTGCTACCTGGGAGCACTCACCTGCTGCTTGGCCGAGGCTGGGCGTCCCTCCTGGGGCTGGGCAGAGCTCTGGAGAGGGGAGAGGAGGAGCTGCCCATCCCCTGCCTACCAGCCAAGCTGGCATTTGTAAAAGAGAAAAACATTGATGATGATGACCTGACCAGCTGCAGGCTCAGGCCTGTGCAGCTCTCAGCCAGGTGGTGAACTGGAACCTGACCATTAAGCTTTCAGAGGTATTATTGAGGTATTATTTGCCATATACTTGAATGTATGAGCTTATTTATTTTTTACATGTGCATTTGCTAATGTCATTTTAATGGGGAATTTCCAACCCACAGGTACTTGTTTTTTTTTCTAAAAAATAATCTGCCAAATGGATTAATATATTAGAAATGAATACAGCTCTAGGGGAGGGGGTGGGGGGAATTGTGCTTAATAAATATTTGTGTCTAAGCTTCAGTGCAAATACTCATTTCCATTATTTCCTGGCTGACAGCAGGGCTAATCCTGGCCCTTTGGAATAAGGATGGGGGTGAATGGAGGGGGGTCTCTGGTAACAGACACCACCACCTGTGCTGAGGAAAGCATTGTGCACCCACCTCCACATCACTTTACTCTCTGAGCACAGGGGTCTTGTGGCAGCCACCACCATCCCAGCTCTGCCTGCCAGCATGGCTGTGGAGGGAAGGCACAAAGCCATGAGAAGTGCCTGCCCAGAACTTTCCAGGACAACAGGGCAGACAGAGCAGCCCTGCATGGCTGAGAAAAGGCCACTGGAAAAGGCTGAGGAGAGGCTGAGCTGTTCCTTTCAGGCCCAGCCTGGCTCTGCCTGGTCTCGGTGCCACCCCGGCGCCTGGCCCAGAGCTGGGTTGTTCCCCAGAGCCAGGGGACATGGGCAGGGAGTGCTGGGCACAGTCCTGGCACTGGCCCTTGGAGGAGACACAAAGCAGCAGCACCAGCTCCTTCCAGCACAGCAGGCATGAGCAGGCTGTTGGACTGGGCTGGAAGGCAGCCTGGGAGCAGCAGTTGGGAGGATAAAGCCAAGTCACAGTTCATTTGTGCTGGCCACTGCCTGATCAAAGATTAATAAAGAGCCACCAGCTTGTTCTCATCAGCTGTTCTCACACCTCTGGCTGCCTGGGCACAGCAGCTCTGCCTGTGACCTGGGGCCAGAACTGTGCCCTCAGGTGTGCAGAGCTCAGACTCCCAGGAGCAGGTGAGCCCTGGGAGAGAGTGAGGGTGTCTCACCTCTGTCCCTCCATCCTGGGCAGCCCAGGCTCGTGCTGAGCTCCTGTGAGCAGAGGCCACTGGGTGCCACTGAGTGTCCAGAGCAGCCTGCAGCGGTGGCTGCTGTGCTGAATCCTCCTCTGTCTCCCACGCTGCCAGGCTCGTTCCCAGTCGGGAAGAGCTCTCTGGTGCTGACATCCGCTGGAGAGCCGCGGCATTGCCGGCCCGTGCGCTGCTGCTGCTGCAGCTGTGGATGTGAGCTGCTGGGAGCAGGGCTGGCCCCAGTGCAGGGCAGGGCCTCTTCAGGAAGAACCCTAAAAATCCAGCAGAAACACGAGAGCCTGCCCTCTCCTACCCAGCTGTACACAAGCACCCAGAGGCACTGATATCAGGCCTGGAGAAAGGCTGCTTCTCCTCATTCCCTGCCTTTGGCTAGGGCAAGCCCATGTGCTTACCTGTGTCCCCTTTCCAGAGCAAACCCACTGCCCCACGCCTCAACATTTTTCAGAAAAAACAGCTTCAAAAGGCAGAAAAAAATTCTGGTTTTTAGCTGCAATCTCTTAGCAGCATATCTTTTTGTATTGTGTGCAAATTGCCTCCCCTGATGTTGGCCTGAATATTCAGAGCAGCAGCAAGAACTGGCACTGTCCATGCTCAGAGCTGCAGAGGCAGCCCCAGGGCACAGGGACCTGTCTCTGTCCTGCCCCCAAAGGGCACGGGGACAAGGAAATATTAACATCTAGGAACAGATTTTGCTACATTTTGCTACATTTTTTAACTATAACACAGCAAAAATTTGCACCACCTTCCTGTAGCTGGGACCTAGTAACAGGTAAGAAAGTATAAAAAAGCCAGATTGTAAATGAGTTGTTTCCAAGGCAACACGGATCCTGCAACAGCTGCTCTGTTCCACCCCATCAAAGGCATCAGCACCATGGAAGCAGAATGCTGATTTTCAGATTAAAGGTAATAAAACAAACACTTTTCCAGCAGTGCTAATAGGTGGCAGCAGCCCAGCTCAGGGGGAGAACACAGCAGTGCTCTGAGATGCAAACTCCTGTTTGCCAATCCTGGGTCACTCCAGCAGCTGGCTGTGGCAGGGAGAGCTGCAGCTCACCAGATCTGAGCACACACAAGCTGGCTGATGAAGTTCCTGCCCCTGTTTCATCACTCTGCACTGACACACCCACAGGAACACAGCAACTTTCCTGGTGCTCTGACCCAACACCTACAATGTAACACAAACAAAATTGTTATGAACACTCCAGATGAAGGAAACTCATTAATGCCTGCAATACCCTCATTAAATCCATGGCTGATGAAGCACCACAAGCAGCTGGAGATGCCTGGCTGAGAGAACTGGGTTTGCTCAGCCCAAGACACAAAGGCTGAGAGGTTTTACTGCTTTCTGTGGCTCAGAGATGAGGGGGATCCATAGAGGTTGTGATTCAAGATCCTGAATATCCTCCTCTGACAAGCAGATTGGACTGGAATCCTCCAGAAGGCTCTTCCAAACTGAATTAGTCTTTGATTGCAAGCTCAAAACCCTGAGAAAGCAGGTATTGCACTGTGCAGAGGGAACAAGCCCTAACAAAGCACAACATCATCATCTCAGTGCTGATCCACCACTACCCCAGAGCTGCCTGCTGACAAACTCCCACATCTGTCATTTATTTCTTTTTAAATTTCTAACTAATCTTAACATACTGCAGTAGCACTAATAAGCCCCTCAATATCTGCCAAGACAACTTTCTGGGTCCTCTTCTTCTCTCCACCACTATTAATTTTGCCTTCACACCCACACTCCCCCTCACCAACAAGGAGTGGTAAAACCCCCACGCTGGAGCTCGAGTGGGATCAAAATACAAAACTTTCAGCCCTGACATGAAACAAAACTCCAGAAAAGGTCAAAAGAACAGATAAAAGCAGCACTTGACTGCATGAAGAGCAGGTGATCTGACCCTCCTGCGGGGTTATTTTGGCTTTAGGATCCTGGGACCCATCTCCTCAGGTGGTATCAATTGTCCCCTCTCCTGATTTGCCACCCCTGAGCATCCCTAAAACCTCCAGCTCCAGCTGCACCTCGCTAGGAAAAACACACACAGACAGAGAATTTCTGTCTGCCTTCTCAGCAGGGAACAAAGCCAGGCACAGGGCATTGCTGGGGCACTGAAAATTACCTGAAAGTCAGCAAAACAAGTAGCAGGAAAAATACCAACACCATCTCTAAAGACATCAGCTCGACCAAAGGCGAAACTACACAAGGCAAAGACACACAACAGAGAAAACCCAACATCCCAGTTTATTTTAGAAACAGCTGAAATCAGGGAACGAAGGTGAAGAGTCTCTTGCCAAAGCAGAATGTCCCAAATCCCACACACGTGGCAGGTGTGTCCCACAGGCCAGAATCCCTCGTGTCAGGTGTGTCCCTTGCTGCCAGCATCTGGGGGAGCCTCCTTGTCATCCCCCTCTGCCAGCTGACCTGGGGGCCCGGGCTCTGCCGAGCTCTCCAGCAGCAGCTCCAGTGCTTCCTCACCAGCCACACGTCTCACCTGCTCCCCTCTGGCTGCCAGGATCTCCTCGATGTTCCTGGACAGGGATTTGAGAACCAGCAGTGACACCACAGCAAAGGCACGCTGCACTCTGCCCCCAGGACTGACACCATGCGGGGAGTCACATCACCAGGAAAACCACCCAAAATTAACCACGCAAAACCACCCAAAATTAACCACACAAAACCACCCAAACCTTCTGGGACTACCCACTAGGATCAATGATTTAGCAATGACAGCTAAACAGAAGCTTTTAAAGGTGTCTTGGGAAGGCAGAAATCATTGGAATTCCACAGCAGATCAATCTACACACTTGAAACATCCAAGGAAAGCCAGCAGTGAAGTGATAAAGCCTGAGGGGAACAGCAAATCACCCGCTGGCACCACTAAGGATCCCTGTGAAGTTTCTACTGCAGCTTCACACCAATTTATTTGGATCCTAGACAGCCACAGTCAAATTAAAATGACTGAAAACAGAGTCTGTTTTAATGAACTGGATGAAACTTTTAGTATGAGGCACATTAGAAAAAAAAAATCTCTGAAACAAGGCATCATGTGAGGGAGCTGCAGGCGGGAGGAGGGTGCTGCTGGCACACTCACCTCTTCCCCTGCAGGTCGGAGAACCAGCCCAGGTTGTCGGCGATGACATGGTGGTTCCCGCAGCCGGGACAGGTCACGATCACCACCCCGCGGTGGTAGGCGGCCTTAGAGATGGATTTGGCCGAGCGGGTCTGGCACACCTGGAAAACAAAGTGGATTTTGTGAGCATGGTAACTGCAGCTCCTGGGACTTTTCAGAGAAAAATACTTTTGACATTAAAAGCGTTTTCCCTCCCTCACCTCTAACTATTTCAAGCCAGCTCCATCATGTTAGGATGTCGTGAGTTCAGCTCAGGACAAAAAGGCTGAGAGAGATTTCACTGCTTTACTGGCTCCCTAATGAGGAGGATCCACAGAGGCCGTGGGATCTCCACCCTCAGAGATACTCACAAAACCCCGAACATCCTTCTCCAACACGGAGCATGGACTTGAAACCTCCAGAGGGCTCTTCCACTCTGAATCAATCTTTGCAAGTTAAAAACCAAGAAAACAGCTGCACCGAGAGCCCCCCCGCCACCCCAGCCCGGTGCCCTCAGAGCGCCCCGGCCCCACGCGCACCTTGCAGGTGTACACCAGGCGATAGTGCGTGGCGGCCGGCCCCGGGGCGGTGCAGAGCGGGCGGGCCGGGCCCCGGCGCTGTCCCTGGCCGGTGCAGGCCGGGCTGGCAGGCCTGCAGAGCGGCCACGGGGCGGTGAGAGCCGGGCGGACAGACAGACAGAGCGGCCCCGGGGCGGTGAGAGCCGGGCCCCTCAGGCCGGGCGGGGGGCGGCGGGGCCGCCATGGCGGCGGCTCCCGGAGCAGCGCCCTCAGAGCGCGCTGCATCGCACCGCGCATGCGCGCGCGGCGCGCCCTGAGGCAGCGGCCGCCATGTTGGGTGCGGGCAGCGGCCATGGCGGTGTCGGGCAGTGCCCTTCATTAACCCGTAATTAACAGCTCAGCCCGGCCCTGTGTCACACGGAGGCATTTCAACCTGTTTATTGACCGAGGGGCCGTCGGAGCCATACAACAGTGTCACTGTAGCGCTTTTCATAAATGGGTGTTTGGATGGTTTTAGAATCTAAACTGTCCGTTGTGAGTGAAACTCAGAGGCACCCACACCCTGTAAAAGCTGGTTCTCCCCTCAGAGATTGGCTCCTGAGGAGGCTGTGGTGGCCGTGGTGGTCCTTTCCAAGGTGCTGTCCCTCTCTCAGGAGCCCTCGGTGTCGGTGTTGTCGCTGCCAGAGGTGTTCTCCCAATCCGCCTCATGGTGCCGGTCCTTGGGCGCCCTTCTCATCGCTCTTTTTCTGCAAACAACACCAGACACACAACTTTCAGAAGGTTTTCTGCAAACAAGCGGCATTTCATATTGTTAGTATGTATCAGTCCCCTTTGTGGTTCACTTTATGTGCTCCATGAGTGAAGCCTGGGGACAGGAAAGGGGAAATACAAATCATGGATATTTCCAGGTTAGCCCTGCTTACTGCAGCCCAGACCTTCGGTAACGCTCAAAGCAGTTCTTCATCCTCCTCCTCTCCTTCTCTGCCAGCTCCTCGTTGGCCAAGCCACACTCCTTGAAATGGAAAAGAAAAAAAACACAACCTAAAAACATACAAATTTATTCTTGATCAGATCAGAGTTAACATCAGGTTGCTTCCTGCATCTACAGAGTCAAGTACCAGCAGGTTCTTTACTGTGTGTGCAGGGTGGAAATGCTGCTGTTTCACACCATTTTACTACATTTATTCCCTCTACACCTGTAGTTCTGTGAATCTGTTTTCTGAAGCAACAGTAATTCTGCAGTAATTACACTGGAAAACATCCCCATCCAGAGATGAAGGGCAGAAAGTAATTAGAAGTTTTTATACACAGATGGAGAAATGTTCACTGTAAATGTTTTGCTGTTCAGAGCTCACCCTTTTTGGAGGGTGGATTCTGCACTAAGTGCTCAGAGTTTGGAAAAGCAGGAGCTGTTGACATGCTTCTCCAAGCTGGTAAATCCATAATTAATGAGAATATTAAAGATCACAAACCCCAGCCATAGTAAAGAAGAGCCCACAAAGATTCTCTTACACTGGGTGATTTTGGGGGCAGATGGCTCTCTTGAGGGCTGAGTTCCTGATTCTGTACTTCCAGGCAATCTTCTGAAAGATTTAAAAAAAGAAATCACAGCTTTAGTCAGAGTTGCCATTGCAAAGTAACTTCTCCCTCCAGCAGTTCTTCCAACAGAAGAGCTGTGATGTAACTGCACAGAGTCCACAGCAGAACTGAAACAAGCCCAAAGCACTCAGAACTCCATCCTGTGATCAATCACAAGTCACTTCTCATTTTAACTGAGCCCTGAATCTTGCCCAGGCTGGTGGAATTCCCCACCTCACCCAGAAAGAGACAGAGCTTTCCACTGCCAACTTCAGCAGGAGCAAAACAAACCTTTGCCAAGCAGCTCCTCTGAGGCCATTTCTGTCAGAAATGTGTTAATCATTATTTTATCCATCATTTGTCCCTGCTCCCCACATCATGGCACTTTACACCAGACCCTGTTTTGGTGAGACTCCTTCTGTAGTGACCAGGTGTTACAATATATATTTTTGAACTGAGCAAGGTAGAATAAAAATAAAACAAGCCTTTTTAGATCAGTGCTGTTTAGTTTTAGTGAAAATTCTCCCATCTTAACAAATGAAAAGATCATTTAGATCTTCCAGGAGAGCAAAACAGAATGGACCATCCCCTCCAGAGCTCTACTCAGAGCTTTCCCCTTACTTTTAGCTGTCTGTGTGTCTTCATCCAGGTGACTGTGAAGAACAAGCTGTGGGGCAGAAAAGAGCAAGAACATCAGAACTGTCCCTCAGTTTGTAGGAACAGATAAAGGAATATAAAACCCAGGACATGCTAGAACCAGCCTCTCTCCCTGTTGCTAACAGAAAACAGTACACTGAGCCAGGAGTTACAGATTTGCTCATGGATTTCTCCTCCATTAATAGATCCTGCTTCCTTTGGCCTCATTGATTCTTTTGGCCCCCGGACAATGTGACAATCACTCCCTCACTGAAGTTATGAATTAAGTGAAACTCTTTACTACTATTTGCTTAGACTCAACAAATCTTGGTGACTAATGCCATAACTGTGTCTTACACTTAACTTCAGGACATAGGGAGATTCTGTCACTGTCTTGCTGCCTCTGGGCTTGTTGACTGAAATGAGCCTGAGCCATTGAAAACTGCTGATACCTGGGGAGCTGAGCACAGGAGCAACATGAAACTATCCCAGAAGAAAGGGAAAGGCAAACAAGGAACCCTACTCACTTCCTGGGAATCTCGGGAGGAGGAGTCATCCAGGTCAGAGGTCTGAAACAAAACCAGCATAGATTGATCATTCCTCATAATCAAGGAAGGGAACATACAGGAGACTTAGATCTCCACAAAACACAGAACTCCTCCACTCTGTCTGGCCACTCAAGAAAGTACACAAGATGCCATAATAATTAAAATATATCTAATTTAGCTCCAGAAAACTTAGCTCCCTATTTCATCCAATGGCTCACACCCAGTCTCTAAATAGAGTCACTCTTTGGTGGTTGAGGAACACCTCATCTCTTTTGGAAATGCTCCAAACAGAAACACATATGTCCAGCATATGTCCAGCTTTTCCATGCCTGAAACCAGGGTGAGGCCATAGAGACCATCACATCTTTCATCTTCTAAACTCAGCATTTGCATGGCAATGGTTTTAATTAATTTTGGTGGTGGCTCAGGCACCAAGGCCTGGCAACAGCCACAGTCTGACCCCATCCTCAGCTTCCCAAAAAATCCATCAAGGGGAGGAGAGTTATACCAGAGTGGGCAGCTCCAGCTGCAGCCTTTTCAGCTTGGCCTCGGTGGCCAGGAGCTGGCTCTCCTTCTGGAAGAGCTGCAGCTGCATCTCGTCACATCTCTCCCCCAGCTCCCGGACCTGCTTGCGGTAGGCGTCTCTCTCCAGCAGGCTCTTGCAATACTGCATGTGGAACTGCTCTCGGGTCAGGAGAGCCTGTGCAGAGGGACAGCACATCATTCACACAACAGCACACACAGGCTGGCACTGTCTGCCCAAAAAGGAGTGACGAGGAGTATTTTATCACCTGGTCTCTCTCCGAAGCCACTTCCTCCATCTGCTGCAGGACAGCTTCAATCCGTTTTTTGTACATCTGGGAGTCCTTCCTCAGACACGTGCACTGTAGCTCCAGCACCTCTTTTTCCTCTGCAAACTGCCAAGACAAGGTCAAAAGCACCTGCCTGTGGCCAGAGCCTGGAGCCAGACTGTCCCCACTCCTGCTCTGGCCACAGCTCCCTGGGGTGCCTGAGCTGTCAGCTGCCACACACACTGCTGAAATACAGGTAGTACAGTAGGGATTGCTCCTGAGCAGCTGCTCTGCTCCACAGGCAGGACACTGCAGGTGCTTCACCTGCCTGTCTGATCTGTGAGCCTCAGCAAGGACTGGAGCCCAGCACCTACTTTGTCCTGGAGCACCTTGGCCCGGCGCAGCTCCTTGCGCAGGCTGTAAATGGTGTTCACCAGCTCCCGCCGTTCTGCCACAGTCTGGCTGCAGTCATTCTCCAGGGTTTCCTTGGAGAGGCTCTTCTCCAGGTTCTGCTCCCTGGCAACCTGCAGGACAAAGGCAGAAGTGAGACAGGGCCACCATCTAAGCTCACATCAGTTCTCTCCCCTCAGAGCTCTTGGGCAACAGCTAATCCTACAATCTTCACTGCAGCATTGTTGCCCTGGCTGCTACAAATAATCCCTTCAGTCCATACTCAACCACCCCACCAACCTGCAGAGTGTTTTCCAGCTCCTGGTTCTTGGCCAAGAGCAGCTCCTTCTCCTGCTGGATCTCCCACACCACCTCGTGGCTGGGGCGCTGCTCTATGGCGTGTTTCAGCTTCATGGTGTGCTTCCTCTCCAGCTTGCAGTCATCCTCAGCCTTCATGAGGCTGTGCTTCAGCTGATCGATCTATGAGAAGGTTCAGAGCTCAGCAGGAGAAAGGAGAAAGCTCTGGCCTGCAGAACCAGTTCTCTGTTCCCCAGCCAAATACAGGCCAAGTTTCTCCCCAGCTGTTTTCCTCAGGAAGTTTTGTGCCCTGGGGCCAGAGTCCTGCCTGTGTGCTAACAGGTACATGTTCTGTGCTGCCTTTGTGAGAGCAGCCTTGAGTGAGGGCAAGTCTGGTCCTCATTCACAGCACAACTTGTAAAATTCAGGCCTACAGGGCTGAGCTAGGGACCACAAAGACACATTCTAGAAAAGATGCTCAGTGCTTCATGCTGGACTGGAGCATCCTTGGCAAAGACGAGGTGCTCAGCCCAGCCTTCCAGGGTCAGGTAAAAGGGGAAGCTGGAGAAACTGTGACTGACCTCTAGCAGCAGGTCCCTGTTCTTCATGAGGGCCGTGCTCTTCTCCTCGCTCTGCTTGGCGTAGCTCAGGGCCAGGCTGTAGTTCTCGTCCTTGCACTTGCGCAGCTCCTTGCTCAGGCTGTCCCTCTCCTCCTTCATCCTCTGGGCGCGCTCCTGGTGCTTGCGGAGCAGGCTGTCCCTGACCCACATCTCCCTGAGGGTGTCCTCCTTGGAGTGCAGCCACACGGCCAGCTCCTGCGCCTTGCGCCGCTCCTCCTGCACCGCGCTCTGCAGCTTCATGATCTCGTTCATCAGCACCTGGCTCAGGCCAGACTCGCCAGCCGTGTCTGTTTGGGGGGCTGGGGTCACTCTCTGCTCTCCTGGCTGCTGCCAGGGCACACACAGAGCTCAGCTTCCCCTCCATATCACTGCAGCCAATGCTGATGGTGTGCGACCAAATTATCCCCACCGTGCCCCTCTGCTCTGTGCCTTCCTGCACCGCAGTCACTGACACAGCAGACAGAGGGAAGAACTCATCCTTCTGCTTCCTCCTCCCCCTCCCCAGTCCA